TCCACGGCAGTGGGTGTGGTTTGGGCTTTGCTTCTGTGAAGACTGACAGCCTTGGAGACCCTGTGGGGCGGTTCTACTCTGTCCTCTAGGGGCGCTGTGGGTCAGAATCGACTCCATGACAGTGGGTTTTGCTCTCTGCTTCAGTTTAGTGGTGTGATCTTGGTGACGTCCCTTCAGCTCTCTGAGTCTCCATTTCCTCGTGTATGAAAGAGTGATGGACACGTCGCGATCACTAACGTTCTGCATGGTTTACTGACTCTGTGAAAACCAGAAAAAGCGAACGTTTTTAAGTTTCAGATGGTTGAAGTGCATGTTGGCGTTCAAGCACATGTAACAGAAACTTGAAAACTATTTCAAAACGAGTTCTCTGTTTTTATGCAGGATCACCCAGTCTCAGTTCTCTGCTTGTCCCTCTCAGGTCACTGTGGGAAGACATTTGCCATTTTGGAAAGATTCTTGAACCGCAGTCACGAGAAAACACCATGGTTGGTCATTGTGGATGATGACACATTGATAAGGTGAGGCATAGTCTAGTCCTAGTGAGGCGTTATTCATTCAATAACTATAATGTGTTCAGAAACTGTAATGGGTCCGTCTGCTTCTAGCCAAGGTGCAGTAAGGGACTGAATTTACCCTCTCATGTGAAACAACCAAAAGAAATATAAAAGGACAAGATACGTATATAAAGGTTTTTACAACACTGGACAGTAGATAACAAATGACTGTGCTCTCAGACAGGAGCAGACGAGGTGAGCCTTGGGACTCCCCAGGTAACTGACCTCAGAGGGTTCCCCAGTTGCGGCTCAGGAAGGGAAACTGCAGGTGGGCTCTGGCCACTGCCAGCCACTCTGTGGGAAAGAGATGAGGCAGGACCGAGAACTGATGTCTCTGAATTAATGTGTTGGTGAAGAATACTGAGCATACAGGAACTGCCAGAAGAAAGGACCAGTGCATCTTGGAAGACGTACAGCCAGCTGCCTCAGCCTTGTTGCTGGTGCCAGGGAGTTGGTTCCACGTCACAGAATGAAAGCCCGCCTGGTCCTGAGTCATCCTCACAATCATTGCTGTACTTGAGCCCATCGTTGGTGCCACTGTGTCAGGCCATCTTGTTGAGTATTTTCCTCTTGTTTGGTGACCCTCTAATTTACCAAGCACGATGTCCTCCTCCAGGGACTGGGCCCCCCTGACAACATGACCAGAGTACGAGAGACGGAGTCTTTCCAACCTCATGTTCTGGTGGTATGTCTTCTAAGACGTACTGGTTTGTTCTTCTGGCAGTTCCTGTATGCTCAGTATTCTTCACCAACACATTAATTCAGAGGCATCAGTTCTTCTCGGTCCCTCCTTATTCGTTGCCCAGCTGTCACACACATAATGAGGTGATTAAAAATACCACGGCACAGGTCAGGTGCACCTTCAGCCTCAAAATGACATCTTTGCTTTAAAAGAGGTCTTTTGTGGGAGATTGGCCCAGTGCACTATGCCAATTTCAATACTTTACCTCAATACCAAAAAACAAACCTCACTGCCTATGAGTTATGAGTCTATTTCATCTCATAACGACCTTATTGGGCACAATAGGACTGTCTCGTAAGGTTTCCAAGGCTGTAAATCTTTTCAGAAGCAGACTGCCTTATCTTTCTCCTGCAGAATAGCTATAGGGTTTGAACAACCAGCCTTTTGGTTAGCAGCTGAAAGCTTTAACCACTATACCACCAGAGGTCTTTGTTTTGGGGAATAATTAACCTAGACTCGTCACTGCTCTGGTGTTGCCTAACAAATCCTAAAACCCCAAAGGATCAAACTTTTCCTAGTTACTAACCTGTATCTTAGAACAGTAATATCTTTAGAAATTGAGACATATCCAACCAGATAATTTACAGTGTCTGGCATCCAAACGGAAGTTCCCAGCCACGCAGAGCAGCAGAAAAACACACTCAGAATAAGGAGAAGCATCAGCCCATTGAAGTTGTTCCAGTGTTGATGGAATATTAGAATTATTAGGTGTTAGATGCTGTTGTTGTTGTTATGTGCCGTCAAATCAGACCCGACTCACAGCGACCCCTCCTTGGGTTACTGAGGCAGTATCACTACGGAAGTAGATTGCCCAACCTTCCTCGTCAGGAGTGGCTGGTGGGTTTGAACCGCCAGCCTTCTAGTTAGCAGTCAAATGCCTTAGGCACTACACCAGATAGTTGCTATTAAACAGTAATACATGGTTCCACCCATCTGTCAGTGTGTCTGTCACACTGTGGCGGCTTGGGTGTTGCTCTGGTGCAGAGGTTATGCCTCCAGGATTTCAAACACCAGCAGCGTTGCCCGTGGTGGACGGCTCTCAGCAGAGCTTCCAGGCTCAGAAGGATGCAGACGAGTCCGCTTCTGACAAACTTGGTCTCTGAAAATGTTATGAACAGCAGGGCAAGATTGTCCAATACAATGCCGGAAGATGAGCCCCTTAGATTGGAAGGCACTCATAATATGACTGGGGAAGAGCTACCTCCTCAAAGTGGAGTCATTCTTAAATGGGGGGTGGAGTAAAGTTTTCAAGACTGTTGTTTGCTGATGTGGTACAACTCCAAATGAGAAGAAACACCTTCACATCCATTAGTGATTAGAATGTGCAATATATGAAGGATGACTAGGCAAACTTGAACTTTTAAAAAATGAAACGGAATGCATAAAGACCAATAGCCTGGGAATTAGTGAGCTGAAACGGACTGGTGTTGGCCGTTTTGAATCAGCCATCATATGGTCTACTGTTCCAGGGATGACAAACTGCAGAGAAATGACGTGGCATCCACCATCACAAAGAACATTTCCAGATCTGTCCTGAAGTACAATGCTGTCAGGGATAGGATCATATCCATACGCCTACAGGGAAGACCACTTAATATAACTATTATTGAAATCTATGCACCAACCATTAAAGCCAAAGATGAAGAAATTGAAGATTTTTACCAACTTGTGCAGTCGGAAATTGACCAAACATGCAATCAAGAAGTGCTGATCGTTACTGGTGATTGAAATGTGAAAGTTGAAAACAAAGAAGCATTGTTCATTGGAAGATACGACCTTGGTGATAGAAATGACACCTGAGATCACATGACTGAATTTTGCAAGACCAATGAGTTCCTCAGTGTAGATGCCTTTTTTCAGGCACGTAGATGGCAGCTGTGCTCGTGGGCCTTGGCAGATGGCGTGCACAGGAGTCAGGTCGACGACATCTCTGGAAAGAGGCGCTGAAGAAGCTCATATCATCAGTCAGAATGAGGGCAGGGGCCAACTGTGAAGCAGACCATCAATTGCTCTTATGCAACTCTAAGTTGAAGCTGAAGAAAATTAAAACAAGTCCACGAGAGCCAAAATGGGACTTTAATTATACCCCACCTGAATTGAAGAAACTGTCTGAAGAACAAATTTGATGCATTGAACACAATGACTGAAGATCAGATAGATTGTGGGATGACATCAAAGACATCATCCATGAAGAAAGCAAAACGTCATTAAATGACAGGGAAAGAAAGAGAAGACTGAAACTTGCTCTTGAACTCGGTATCTAAAGCAAGTGGAATAAAAGAGGAAGTAAAAGGTCTGAACAGAATATTTCAAAGGACAGCTTGAGAGGATAAAGCAAAGTATTATAATGAAACCTGGAATTAGAGAACCAAAAAGGAAAAACATTCTCCGTGTGTCTCAAGCTGAATGAACTGAAGAAAAAATTCAAGCCTTGAGTTGCAGTGTGGAAGCTTTCTGTGGGCAAAATATTAACCAATGCAGGAAGCATCAAAAAAAGATGGAAGGAATACATGGTCACTGTACCAAAAAGATGTTCAACATTCAACCATTTCAGGAAGTGGCATATGATCAAGAACCGATGATATTGAAGGAAGAAATCCAAGTTGCACTGAAGGAGTTGGCGAAAAAGAAGTCCCCGGGAATTGACAGAATACCCATTGAGATGTTTCAACGAACGGATGCCACACTGGAGGTGCTCACCCATTTATGCCAAGAAATTTGGAAGACAGCTACTTGGCCAACAAACTTGAAAAGATCAATATTTGTTCCCATTCCAAAGAAAATGGTTCAACAGAATGTGGAAATTATTGAACAGTATCATTAATATCACACCCAAGTAAAATTTTGCTGAAGATAATTAAGAATGGTTGCAGCCGTATGTTGACAGGGAACTCCAGAAACTGAAACCTGATTCAGAGAAAGACATGGAACAAGGGGTATCATTGTTGATGGCAGATGGATGATGGCTGAAAACAAATACCAGAAAATTACTTTCCTGTGTTTTATTAATTATGCAAAGGTATTCAGCTGTGTAGCTCATAGCGAATTATGGATAACATTGTGAGGAATGGGAATTCCCGAACACTTAGTTATTCTTAACTATTCTCATGAGGAAATTGTACATATACCAAGAGGCAGTCGTTCGAACAGAAAAGAGGACGTTACATGGGTTAAAATCAGGAAAGATGTGTGTCAGGCTTGTATCCTTCCTCCATATTGAATCTGTATGCTGAGCAAATAATCCAAGAAACTGGGCTATATGAAGAAGAACGCAGCATCAGGATTTGAGGAAGACTCATTAACAGCCTGCGATATGCAGATGACACAACCTTGCTTCCTGAAAGTGAAGAAGACTTGAAGCACCTGCTGATGAAGATCAGAGCCTTCAGTGTGGGTTACACCTCAACATAAAGGAAATGAAAAATCCTCACAACTGAATCAATAAACAACATCATGATGAATGGAGAAAAGATTGTGGTTTTCAAAAGATTTCATTTTACTTGGATCCACACTCAACACCCACGGAAGCAGCTCTCAGAAATCAGATTTCTGGGAAAATTTGCTACAAAAGACCTCTTTAAAGTGCTGAATAGCAAAGATGTCTCTTTGAAGACTAAGGTGCGTGTAACCTAAGCCATATCAGGGCTCTGGTAGCATAGTGCCTAAGGCATTTGACTGCTAACCAGAAGGCTGGAGGTTCAAACCCACCAACCACTCCTCAGAAGGAAGACTGGGCAATCTACTTCCATAGAGATACTGCCTCAGAAACCCAAGGAGGGGTCGCTATGAGTCAGATCCAACTTGATGGCG